TCCATTTTTTCCTTTCTGTTGTCTCTCTTCTTGTTTCTTTTGTTGTTCTTGTATTGCTGCCATCAAATCTGCTAAGCTGTAGTTTGATTTGACGCTTCTCGTTTCCATTTTTTCCTTTCTGTTGTCTCTCTTCTTGTTTCTTTTGTTGTTCTTGTATTGCTGCCATCAAATCTGCTAAGCTGTAGTTTGATTTGCCGCTTCTCGTTTCCATTTTTTTTTCTTTCTTTTCCGTCCCACTCCACTTCTGACACCAATTTGTTACGTCTCTGGTCGTTACTTAATTTCCCGTATAATTTCTTTCCTATGAAACTTTAGCGACACAAGTCCTTTCTTAAATAAAACTAGTTTATTCTTTCTCAATACAACTTTGAAATTCACTTAATTTCCACGGTCATGCTATAACTTAACTAACGCTATAATTCACAACGAACGACTCACGCGCTCGACCCAACTGTCCGTCTCTATCTCTGTCTGCAATTCAATTACCTTGTTGCCGTCAGTTCTTGGCGGTCTTATATACAAGAAAACCATACCTCTAGTAAACACTCGAGGCTTCAGAAAGGGACATAAATTTTCTAGAAGTTCATGACATGTTACTAGTGTCACGTGACTTCCGCTGTCATAACAGATTTAATACTTCTAACTTTCAATATAGTGTGTATATCTTCACAAAATTTGGCAGTCTTTCAGTTAGCATTACAAGTCTTTCACATACAAATAATCTTATCTTTTAGTGAAGTATTTTTAATAAACTAAAATAAAGATTTGCCCATGAATATATTGAGTATTTGTTTTGAATAGTCTGTGTGCAATACTTTTTCTTTATCTCAAAAATCTCAAGTTTCCTGTGTAATCCCTAAAACCTCCAAAATACATTTCAAATGTTTTTTTCAGTAAAACTTTATATCTTATATTTTATTTTCTCTACCGTATCTCTATATGGGATTAGCCAAATCGACTGATTCCATAGCCACCAAAAAAATATCTAAATATATCTAAATTACCCTTTTTTCTTTCTAGAATGACTTCAAATTGTAACATGAAACTACATTCATTTATCCTAATTAGCTTTAAGTTCATAACAGTATACATCTATTCATAATTAAATTTTATTGTTCTATTGCCCTCTGAACCATGTCTAACTACTATTCTCACCATTATAAGTTGTAAATCACTGGAGGAATGTGCAGCTCACATTATGCTATTGAATTAGATTACCCATGAAATACTATGAGCTGCTCACGAGTGTGCTTTGTGAAACATTTTCATTTTATTATTATTATTGTTATTTATTTTACCTAATTTAATCTTAACTAACCTAAAAAGATCCCTATTTTTACATTTGAATTACATTTAGAATAATAAATAAATATTAAACATGAAAACAAGAAATAAAGTACTTACCAAATCTTCTTTTTTTCTTCCTTTCGATGACACTTAACCCTACTTTTATTAAACTAATGGTACTAATGCACTAAATAACTTTTATTCAATTAAATAATGCACCAAAGAACAAACACTAATAACATGCAAGAAGTAGACAATTTCCCCTAACTCTCAAAATGTTTCTGGCTTTCTAACTATGCGACAAGAGCAAATTCATCCAATCTAGTCGTTAACTTTCCCATAAGAAAGAGGATTGTACTCTGAATAAAATTGACACTTATCCATTCAGAACACAATGTTATACAATACGTCATCGAATAGATGAAAACCTTGACTTTCTATTGCTTAGAGGTAATATATAACTAAATGTAAGAGAGAACTACTAACAAATCCTGAAAGAGAGGATGTGACAGGTGGGTGTTGCAGGAGGGGTCCGATGTTCTATTTGATAGCTCTGTAACCAAACAAAATTGAAGGCTCTAAAAATCATGGTGTGCCTAAGCAATGACAGTTTTGTATTAAATAATTTATGTTTAATTTCACACATTTTGGAGGGGTGGTATATGAAATTGAGAAAAGAAGATGCCCAGAGAAAAATGTATAATGTGTGTCACACTAGAGGAAATTCATTATTGTTCTAATATTGCCTTGTAGAATTAAGAACTTAAAACTTATATACTATTAAAATATGGATTATTGGCTAAAATTTTATGCTATACTAATTAGTATACCATAAACAAAAAGTAGCTTAATAAAATTTTGAATGTTAGACACAAAAACTTTGTGTCATGCACAATAAAGGATACCCATGGCAACAGGGTTAATACACTCAGTAAAAACCAATTATTCAATGGACTTCTGAAGGAGGATATTCCTTACCATACTCAGTAGAAACAATTATTCAACTGTCTTCTGAAGGAGGACATTCCTTAATACACTTAATAAAAATCAATATTTCAACAGTCTTCTGAAAGTGAACGTTTCTTAATATACTCAGTAAAAACTAATTATTCAATGGTCTTCTGAAGGAAGGCATTCCTTACCACACTCAGAGAAAACCATATACCCAATGGTCTTCTGAAGGAAAGAATTTCCTTACCACACTAAGTAAAAACCCATTATTAAATGGTCTTCTGAATGAAGATATTCCTTACCACACTCAGTAAAAATCAATTATCTAATGGTCTTCTGAATGAAGATATTCCTTACCACACTTAGTAAAAATCAATCATCTTTGATTTTTACTGAGTGTGGTAAGGAATATCTTCATTCAGAAGACCATTTCATCTAATGGTCTTCTGAATGAAGATATTCCTTACCACACTTAGTAAAAACCAATTATCTAATGGTCTTCTGAATGAAGATATTCCTTACCACACTCAGTAAAAACCCATTATTAAATAGTCTTCTGAAGGAAGACATTCCTTACCACACTCAGAGAAAACCATATACCCAATGGTCTTCTGAATGAAGAGATTATAATAAAATTGTATAATTGTTGTCTGAAGAAAAAAGGCCAAACACACAATTATTTTTTCCTAAATACACTTTATAATCAACCTCATCTTCTCTCTACTCCACTATGATTTCAAAAGTGAAAACATTCTTTAGTAAGTTTTCTGTGCCAAATATGAACATCCAAATATACTTAACTCTCTTTCCTAAATGTTTTACAAATATAAAAACCACACTCACCAAGTGTTTAGTAAGTGCTTTCAATCAAACATAAACACACAAATATACTCAACGCTCTTTGCTAAATGTTTTACAAATATAAAAAACCACACTCACCTAGTGTTTAGTAAGTGCTTTCAATCAAACATGAACATCCAAATATACTTAACTCTCTTTGCTAAATGTTTTACAAATATAAAACCACACTCACCAAGTGTTTAGTAAGTGCTTTCAATCAAACATAAACACCCAAATATACTTAACTCTCTTTGCTAAATGTTTTACAAATACAAAACCACACTCACCTAGTGTTTATTAAGTGCTTTCAATCAAACATAAATATCCAAACATAAGAGAATTTATTAAACTTTAACAACCATAGAAATCCAAAACAAAACTTTCAAACAATGGGAAAAAAAAAGCAAAAGAGTTAATAAATACATGCCTGACAAGGACTTGATATTAACATTAATAAACAATACAACATAAATATCAATGTTATTAACTTCAATAAATAAAGGAATTAGGAAGAAATACCTAATTCCCAAAGAAAATATTATTTCCAAATTAAACTACTTCAAGATCAAGAACAATATTGAGTAACAATCTGCAACAATGTGTTTTAACTATATCTCATGAACAAACTTGTTTAGGCTTAAGGCAGGATTTTTGTGAGTTAGTGCTTCAATATAACTAAAAATAGAAGAAATAATAAATGAGTTGTAAACAAAACCATAACAAAATAAAAGTAGAATTAGCTATCTGACAAGTGTAAATAAAAACTAGAAACCAAAATCCTATATTTACAGGTAACCTATTTCATTCACTACTTGTTTTCAAAAAATGTGTTCACCAACCACTGTTTGCTAAGTGGTATTTATACAAATTAAACACCCAAACTCAATCAGTAACTCCTCCTAAATATTTTCAAAAACGTGTATCGAAGTCCTCTATGTTCTTTTCTGAAAAGTCTTAAAAGCAAGTATACACCCAAACTCACTCAATGATACCTCCTACGTGTTTTTAGAAACACATTCTCTACCTTTCTGAAAACTGAAACAAACCGAGGTGCAGGACTTTGTTCATGCTTTTGAACAAACACAAGAAATACCTTTTTACACTTTTTTCTAATACTGAGATTTAAGAAATAAACCTAACTTATCACATCTGGCTTTTCAAGAATACAAAAATTATGATAAGCCTTTTCTTATCTCCTGAAAACTCTTGATAAAAATAAAACAGAAACTCACCCACTGCAACTTCTTTCAATGTCTGTTTGATGACATAGCACAGCTGAGCAGCTCTGCTTTCATCATTAAACTGAGAACCAAGAGTGATACCATTGAAGTAATCAACTATATTACATGCACATGTGTGGATGTCATTCACCAAGCTTATAAGTTCTGGAAGAAATTAGAAAAAATAGATAATTAAAGTAAAGAATCACATTATTTACTTCAACTGGACTGTTGTACTCTATGTTTTTAATCTACACATTCCAAGAACTTTGCATTATTATTTACCTCCAGTATACCATGAACTTTCTTCAATGTTTAGGAAACAAATTAAGCCATATATAAGCAACAAGTTATTGAGTTTGTTAATAAATTAATGCACAATCAGTGTATGATTTTGTCAGTTTCCTTTCAGCCAGATAGTTAACTAGTTAATTATTTCAGTGATGTAAATATGGACAAAGAAATAGTGGCATGAAGTTATCATGTGGAATTTCCATTAGACACAGTTTACTAGTGAAGTTAGCCCTACCTGTGAATGTTCATTACACTAGCAGTAGAATTTCAAGCTGAAGAAATAAAACATTTTTGTTGTCATTAAAAAGACTGGACTTTCAATTATTCCCTTTTATCCAAGAGAATCTATCCAACACAGAAACCATCACAACAAAATACATATGTGCCAAAATCCATGAAAGTATATTTCTTGAAGCATAAAGTTAACTTTGCAGTTAATGGGCAAATATTAAAAATCTTATTGAACAAAATATTAACAATTCCTATAAAAACATCAGTTTCACTTTAATTTAATATTCTTGTTATATCATCACTAATGATAAGCAGCTTTTAAAGATCTAGCGTTAAAAGATTACTTATTTGTAATTGTTACAGTTTTTCACCAACTTAATGTAACAATAAAACTTCTAAAATATTTATCAACGCTAAATTGTAAATATTACAGTTTTCACCAAATTAATGAAACATTTAAATTCCTAGCATATTTTTAAACTAACATTAACTATGATTTAGAACTCAAACAATAATGCTTCATTTTATTAATTTAGACTAAATGATTTCAAGTAGTTAGTTATATAAGAGTTTCTGATTTTACATTGTTGTTTGCTGTTGGTCTCAAAGTATGACTTGTATAGACATATTTTTTATGAGAAAATTTCCAAGTTATTTTAAATTTGTGGAGAAAACAATATAATATGAATGTACTTTTAATAGCAGCTACTACATTTTGTTTCATAAAAAATCTAATTTAGAAATAGATAAAAGGAATATTAAAGTAAACTCCTTACGTCGTTTTAAAGATGAGCTTTTTAAGACCTGTTTGCACATCTCAGCAAAGCGAGAAAATCCAGGGAGCTGACCTACGTGCTGGAGACAGCTCTTGGCAGTCTCTTCCTGGAGACCAGATACAAGGCATTCACAATAAAGATAATACAGGGTAGCATACAGAACGTCTTCAGGAAATCCCTGAAGAGGACAGGGAGGCTGTGTCCAATGAATTGAGGGATTTGCAACATTTAGAATGGTACTGTGAACTAAAAACTGAAGAAAAGAATAAACTGACATCAAACTGTCCACTAATTCATCATATATCTTACATCAAGTTTATTATTAGGTTATCATATAAAGATTATTATTCATTTACCAAAATCAATTATTTAACTGACATCAAAGTTTCTACTGCTTCATCAGAATTAAACAGTTATATATCAAAGTAGTTATTAGTTTATTAAAATTAAATAATTGTACAATTGATATTAATGTAGCTATTGGCTTCATCCAAATTAAATGATTATATAACTAATATCAATATTTGTTTATCAGAATTAACTAATTCCATAACTGACTTCAAAGTAGTTATTAGTTTATCAGAATGAAATAGTTACATAACATAGATCAAAGTATCCAATGGTTTATGAAAATAAAATTATTATGTACTAATAATAGTTATCTGTTTATTAGTGATATAATTCTATGACTAATATCAAAGTAGTTTTTCTCAGGATTAAGTAATTATCCAAACTAAACAATTATATATATGATGTTGTTTTAGTGCAAAGCTATACAATGCACTATCTGTGCTCTGTCCACCACTGGGAATCAAACCCCAGATTTTAGCACTGTAAGTACATAACTTTACTGCTGACTCATTGGAAAACGTAAATGATATCTAAGGAATGATTGATTTACCAAAATTAAATTATCATATAACTGACATCAGAGTAATTATTGGTTTACCAGAACTATATGATCATAAAACTGACATCAAGGACTAGACATTGGTGAGAGCCAGGAAAACTAAATGCAAGAAGAATAAGAGCCAGAGAAAAGTTTAACATAGAAAATGAGTATAGAAGTAGTTATAAGGATAGGCTTAATTGTTATTATTGTAATGCCAGAAGTATAAGAAATAAAACAGATGACTTTAAAGCACTGGTAGGAATGGAAGATTTTGATATAATGAGAATAACTGAAACATGGTTAAACATAGATGATTTTGATGACAGCAATGTTTTTGAAATACAGGGCTACAGGCTATTTAATAGGGATAGAGTATTGTAGAGGAAGGGAGGAGGAGCGGCTTTATATGTAAAATGTGAGTTACATCCTGTTGAACTTGAGGATATCAAAGATAATAGCAAGGAGACTGAATCTATTTGGATTTATATCAGTGGATATAAAGAGAAAAGGCTTTTAGTGGGGATTTGTTACAGACCATCAGATGATACTGATGAAATTAGTGAGAAACTTTACAATGAGATAAAGATTTCAGCTGTTAATGAAGTCATAATTAGGGGTGATTTTAATCTCAGACTGATAGATTAGGAAATTCTAGAGTCAAACCATGAGGGTTTTTGGAAACTGTTCAGGATGGCTTTCTTCACTAGTTAGTTAAAGAGCCTACTAGAAAAAATGCTATCTTAGATTTATTGTTAACTTCAAATACAGAAATGATTGAGAGGGTGAAAATTGAGGAACATCTGTGTGCAAGTGATCATTGTCTATTAGGTTCAATGTTTTGCTGCGTATGGAGATAAGAAATAATGATATTTTGGTTACAAATTTCAAAAAAGCAAATTTTGAAGAAATGCTACAAGAATTATCTGTTGATAATTAGGGAGCTGAGTTATTTGGAGACACTGATCAGATGTGGAAAAGTTTTAAAGATAAATTTTTAAATATTCAATGTAAACATATTCCTAAAAAAAGGAAAGTGTAGCTACAAGTAAAATAGTAAAGAAGTAATAGTAAAAAAGTAAAGAAGATTTAAGCAGTAATCCACATCTTGAACAATTGATAAATGGAAACGAGATCAAACAAGATGACTGCATTAATTCTCAGCTGGTTAAGAAAAAATTGAGAAGGGCTGTGAGAAAATTATTACACGTATTCATACTCAATAGAACTAAACTTAGTCTAACCCACATTACAGTAAAATGTTTAAATATCAACAAAAAAGGCATAAAAGCATGTGGTCAAAAGATTTTATGTATTTTTATAAAATGTATTTTTTATCCATGAGTGCAGATTACATTTAGTTTAGTGACTAGTTCCTTTCAAAACTGATGGAAATAATTATATTGTCTGTCTATAATTAAACAATTCTTGCAAACCAACAAATCTTACCTACAGCAAATGGTACTATTCAAAAGCAACAAACCTCCTTCCCATTGGAAGATGTGATTTTCATATCAGACAAGTAACCCATCTCTAGAAGACACAGCAGAGAAAAAGGTCTATCATATTTCGATTCATTCGTCGAGACCTGAAACAAACAGTTTGGTTGAAACAAATTTAACGTGAACCATTCTGAACAAAATCAAGAAAGGTTGTATCACAAATATGCAATATTACTTTATGTACTAATGCTGCTAATATTACTTGATGAACTAATGCTGCTAATATTAATTGATGAACTAATGCTGCTAATATTAATTGATGAACTAATGCTGCTAATATTAATTGATGAACTAATGCTGCTAATATTAATTGATGAACTAATGCTGCTAATATTACTTGATGAACTAATGCTGCTAATATTAATTGATGAACTAATGTTGCTAATATTACTTGAAAAACTAATGCTGGTCATTTTGTGATGATCCACTAGACAAATCCTGTGCTTTCTCACTCATATTCACATTCTGACACGTCATGTCTCTGGGTTCTGAATCTGATGAGGGATCACTTCTCTCACTTTGAAAGGATCCCTCCCACAGAATGACCCTTCTATCCTTCAGTTTTCAATTTGATGTTTTCCCATATTGGAACCCCTCAGCTTGATGCTTTTATAACTCCCACTTTGAAGGTCTTTTCTCAGTCAATCATTTTTAAGTTCATGGTGTTGCACCTTTCTCTTCACACATGGGATTTGTTAGTTTCCTTGCAAGACATATAGGATTTCCCCACAATGTAGCCCATTTTTCTCTCTCTCATTCTTGTGGGCCTTCTACTTTCATCCTCTATCAAAAGAAATGGGCTATCAACCTCTACTAGTCTCTCCGCCATTTTCTTCAGCATCCACATCTTACTTCCTACTTTACCTGGCTTTTCAACAAAGATCTGTTTGTCTCAACCATTGCAGTTTATCAGGTTGCTTTGTTCATGGCATTCTACCTCTTGCCAGGAAATAATACCTTCCTTTTGCCTGTTTTCATAGATGTCTTCAAGGCCTTTTTTGCCAATCACCTCTTTGCCTAGTACCTCTTCCAGACTGGGACCCTTGTGTAATTCTTTGGGCCTGTACATACCCTCCCTTTGACCTCCTGCTCATTTTATTATTCTCTCTTCACTCCAATTTTCTTGTTTTCCTTGTGTCCGGTCCTCGTTCTTCTGACATCTATGCCTTGCATGCCTCATAGGAACTGGTTGATGTTATTTCTGGACTTCTCCTTTCTTCTGACGATATGAGCTACCCGAGAGGGTGATTGGATGTTTCTTCATCCTCTCTTCTCTATATTTTCTGATTGTACAATCATTCTGATCACAATCATCTTTTGTGTTCTGTGTTTTGCTATCATGCTCAGACTGCCCCTTTTCGTGAAAACTGCCACTGCTTATCTTTACCATGGCAGACCTCCTCCTCTCGGTACTTGTCCCCTTCCACTCTAACTGGTTGGATTCACAAGCTCTTCCATCTCACATATTCTTTGTGGGTGAGTTTGACCATACTCTCTTTTGTGTCCCCTCCCAACAGATTCAACATATCACAATCTCTCTTGCCTTTTTTTGTCACTGGCCTTTGGAGAAAGTCTTACAGGCTGGTATGTGAACTGTATGTTACACATTCATTTCACATTACTTGCATCATTGGGCAGTTTCCTGTGCCTCTGGTTTTTCACCTTCCTCTAGTCTACCCAGAAGCTCTAGTGTGGTGAGTTTTACATGTTGTGTTTTTCAGTCACATCATGTCATTCATACATTTCATGCCACCTCTGTGTGTGTACCATGATTTTTATACATGTTGCAACATATAACAAGTTCCCCAACTAAAACGATTAAAAAAACACAACAAAATGTAAAAACATAAACTGAACATGAGATGACAAGACAAATATTATATGAGGAACTACACCATATGTTCTTTACGCTTGGCCATCAGAACCTGCATTGCCTCACAGAGAATACTTGCTCAAAATCCACATCAAGTGAGGGAAAAAGGAAAGCATTAAACCTGTCCACCCCTGCTCAATGTCCACCGAGATGGGGTTTTATGTCAGACTGTTTATATATATACATCTATAACTGACGTGGCCATTTCCACACCTTTTTACAAATAAAAATCAGACAGTACTAGATGTAATTCTGCTCTTACACTTGGGTTGTGCTTGCTATCTTTAAGTGTAACAACCCACTGCACTGTCTTTCAATGGAGACTCAATTCAAGATGAGTGTGCCTGATGACAGTGGTCCACACACAAACTCTTTCTCTCGTGTTCACTCCAATGCATATCTTCCCCCCTCTTGGCCGCTGGGGATGTTGATATGGAGAGTTTCTTATGTGAGTGGTAACTTCCCACCAGTAAGAGACATGTTGGTCCCATCCCTTGTTTGAAATGTAGGGCTGCAGTATTTCCTGGAGGTGTAGTACAGGACATCCCATTAAAATATCTCCCAAGCACTTCCTGGTGTCCAGCCAGATGGGACTTGGATTTGCCTCGGTGTATCAAAAATGGCCTAACACCCTAGACACACTACACATGCTAACTTTCTGCCCACCTTTGTGAAACATTACCACTGGTACCAATATCCTATAGTGTACATCTTTCTCTAATGTACGTGGCACTTCTGTGCACAGAGATTGTGTCACCCTCCCATTGGTGGAGGGATACAACATTATAACAATTACATCATGAACTAGTGCAACGCATATAGACATATGTAGTAATGAGAGTTTGTTCAAGACTTGTGGCATGTATGGGAAATTCCCTGGCACTTTCACACAATGTAATGGTTCTTAATGGTGCTTAGAGGAAAGTAGTATTTCTGAGATACCTTGATCTTTGTTATGCCAGAAAATACATTAATAGCAAACTAATGTCAAAATATAACTTAGTTCTCATATACACTAATCTTCACAAAAACAAGCTGTTGATTGATTCACAGATCCCATAGATAGCAAAAGTCCAGTGTTCTCACACAAATATGTACACTGTATTTCTCCTATTGATATAAATATTGTTTTAAACTTTACATCACATGTTTAGTGTTAGCTTAAACTCAGTCTTTTAGCTAAATTCAGATTTACTCTGTGATTATCATCAGTGAACCTCCATTGTTAATTAGTTTCACTTCAGAGACCTCACACTTAATTCAATTTCACCAGAGAATACCCCACTCTTAATTCAGTTTCACCAGAGAATACCCTACCCTTAATTCAGTTTCACCAGAGAATACCCACCCTTAATTCAGTTTCACCAGAGAATACCCACCCTTAATTCAGTTTCACCAGAGAATACCCTATCTTTAATTCAGTTTCACCAGAGAATACCCTATCCTTAATTCAGTTTCACCAGAGAATACCCCACACTTAATTCAGTTTCACCAGTGAATACCCTATCCTTAATTCAGTTTCACCAGAGAATACCCTATCCTTAATTCAGTTTCACCAGAGAATACCCCACCCTCAGTTCAGTTTCACCAGAGAATAACCACACTTAATACATATCTTTGATTTCATGAAACTCAGATAACAGATAACCTAACCTAGCCCAAGATATAACAGATATACTATCAACTTAAACTGAAAACCTTACAGTAATAAAGAAAGGTGTAATAAAAGCCTTTAACTTAACTTTAACAGATAAAAACTTATGTTCTAATGTAGACCAATCAGCAGTTTCTTCACATTTGAATAGTTGACATTTTTATTACAGAATTTCTGAAAAGAGAGATTGAAATTTGCTACCTTATCACACTGCAGTACACACCAGCCTTCATACGTTAACTCTACTGTACCTTCTCTAGGTTGATTAATCTGGAAGAGTAAATAGTTCACTAAAGTTTCACATGACTACTAAAAGTAACACAAGAAACCAGACTGTTATATGACAAGAATATATGTTTAAAATTACTAAAATTAACACAAGAAACCAGACTGTTAAATAACTACAATATATGTTTAAAATTACTAAAATTAACACAAGAAACCAGACTGTTAAATAACTACAATATATGTTTAAAATTACTAAAATTAACACAAGAAACCCAACTGTTAAATAACTACCTAGAATATATGTTTAAAAATACTAAAACTCACACATGAAACCAGACTGTTAAATAACAACCTAATATACACAGTTAAAATTACTAAAAATTAACACAAGAAACCAAACTGTTAAATAACTACCAAGAATATATATTTAAAAATACTAAAACTCACACATGAAACCAGACTATTAAATAACAACCTAATATACACAGTTAAAATTACTAAAAATTAACACACGAAACCAAACTGTTAAATAACTACCAAGAATATATCTTTAAAAATACTAAAACTCACACATGAAACCAGACTGTTAAATAACAACCTAATATACACAGTTAAAATTACTAAAAATTACACAAGAAACCAAACTGTTAAATAACAACCTAATATACACAGTTAAAATTACTAATAATTAACACAAGAAACCAAACTGTTAAATAACTACCTAGAAAATATTTTTAAAAATACTAAAACTCACATATGAAACCAGACTATTAAATAACAACCTAATATACACAGTTAAAATTACTAAAAATTACACAAGAAACCAAGACTGTTAAATAACTACCAAGAATATATTTTTAAAAATACTAAAACTCACACATGAAACCAGACTGTTAAATAACAACCTAATATACACAGTTAAAATTACTAAAAATTACACAAGAAACCAGACTGTTAAATAACTACCAAAAATACATAGTTAGAATTACTAAAACTAACATAATAAACAATTTTGTTAAAAATACTAAAAAGAAACTAGCCTGTTATTATAAGTACCCACAATACAATTTTAATTAACACATATCATTATTATATACTAATCATTACTTTTATAATTCACTGACACAAAGAATAAATAATCTTATATGAACAACAATAACAAAAAAGAACAAATAAAGTAACTTACCCGAAATTCAATTACATGATCAGCAAATGTTCCAAACAGGCGGAGATAATGTACATTTCCCATAAAAACCTGTAACATTTACCAAAATTATAGTTGACAAATGTTCTCTTGACTGAAATACAATAATAACCTAACTGATTTTATGCAAGGATCTTTGTTGTATGATTTTGGAAAAACATAACATAAAAAATCCTCTTTATATATATATACACACACAACTAGTATCTATATTACATAAAGTCATCTAAAAAAGAAATCAGGCTATTTTATTATTTAAACAAAATTAAAAAGTTTACTTGTCTTTTATATATATATATATATACATCTTTTCTGGTTTTTCTGATAAAAAATTTTGATTTGTAAAACTAATATTAATTTATTTTGTTTTATATCCCAAGACATTCCTCTGTCACACTCTTCCTCTCAGTCTTCCCATCTGGCTGTGTGGATCAGAATGTTGTGGTATTGTGCAACATCTTCCTCATCATGTGGTTGAATGTTGCTGCTGAGTTGACTAACCCAAATGGCATCTTCTCGAACTGGTAGCATCAATTTAGTGTCATAAATGCTGTCTTCTCTTTAGATTCTGTCTCCATCAGGACTTGCCAATAACCTTTACTGAGGTCGATCTTGGTAAAGAACTTGGCCCAGTCTAGATTTGCCATGATAGCCTTTGGGTGCCCATAGGTTTGGAGTCAAACTTTGTCATGGGGTTCAGCTTCCAGAAATCTATGCAGAAGCGGTTTGAGCCATCCCTTTTCTTCATGATTACTACTAGTGAACGGTAGACTGAATTCAAAGGTTCAGTGATTCCGAATTCTAACATTACCTTGAATGCTTGCTTGATCATGGATCTCATGTCATAGTGCATTTGGTTAGAGTCCACCTTGACTGGATGCCTGGTTGTTGTATTGATCTCATGTTGCACTAGGTCTGTCTTGCCTGATTTATCTGTAAAGATATCTGAATACTGGAACAGTAGATACTGTAGCTCTTTCTTCTGCTTATCAGTCAGTTCTTCACTGATGTTGATGTCTTTGAACATTCCATCCCCACCAAATGGTCTTAGGCCTAGTAGATCTTTATCTTCTATAACAAAGTCACTGTCTTCAGGTTATGCTTCTTTGACAACTACACCTGCCATGTCCATCTGTGCCTCAATAGCTGCACTCGTCTTCTTCCCTCTCAAAGTACCTTTTTAACAGCTTGGCATGGTAGATCTTGGTCTTTCCATCCACTTCCACCTCATAGCCCATACTTGTGACCACTTCTTGCACTTCCAAAGGTCTTTTCCACTTTTTTGTTGTTGTCTGTGGGTAACAGAACGAAGACCTTCTGACTGACCTTGAAACGTTGATCCTTGGCCTTCTTGTCATAGAAATGTTTCTGACTGCCTTGAGCTGCATGTAAACTTTCTCATATAAATTAACAGTTATCCTCCAGTCAGTTTGAGGTCTAACACCTACTGGTAGGTCTTCCTCACTTCTTCTCATGTTCACAATTCTTTCAAAATCTACATTGAACCTCATACTGTTCTTCCATACAGTAACACGAAAGGTGAAAATCAAGTACTCTCTTACGAGACTTCTCAGCAAGCAGGTACCTGTCCCAGTCAAGTGGTCTCTCCGGGCACATCTTCTTCAGCATGCTCTTTAAGACTCCATTGACTCTTTCAGAAAGTCTGTTACATCTGGGGTGGTAAAGAGTTGCATAGTGCTGATAAGTATGCACACTTCTTAAATCAGTTCTGAGGTAAACTGAGGAAAGTCTACTCTACAAAACATTTTCAGGAGGGCTTCTGCTACTCTCTCCATCTCTATCTTCAGCAGTGCTAATAGCTACTAAATAACATGTCTTGTGTCAACTGCTGTCAGCACTTACCAGTTGCCCTTGTCAGATACAGCTGCTAGTAGTCCAATCAAATACACAGCTACTCTGCTGAATGGCTCTTACATAAGAAGCATCTCACCCAATGGCAACTTGGTTACCTTCCCTCTAGGTACTGTCCTTTGGCAAACATCATATGGCCTGCAGAATCTGGTCACATCTTCAATTAACCTCAGACAATGGAAGTTGCCAGTGATTCTGTCTACTGTCTTCTTCACTCCTAGGTGTCCTCCCACAATCGTCTCGTGAGTCAACTTCATCATTTGAGCCTGGTATTCTGTTGGTATTATGATCTGTTTAACTTCCACTATAGAACTAGATTGATAGATTTGGCACAGTCCTCAATTCTGTAAGTCCCCTTCACCTTTGTCTTATGCTTGACTATCTCCCTTGCATTGTCCCAAAGTTTCTGCAGTGAAGGGTATTTCTTCTGTGCTTCTTTCAGTTCCCATAGACCTACATTCGAAATGTCACCTTTTGTGACTATCGGGGGCTTCATGTCTTGCTTGCTTTTCTTTTCTTGAGCTCTTATGGTGACTGCAGATACCTCATCAGTCTCCTTTCTGTCTGGTTCATCTAAACTTCTACTGCCTGGTATATTGCCAATCACCAAGTCATAGATGGGTGCCTTCATACACAAGGCTTCAAAGTCTCCCATGTAGTATGGAGTGTCCACCTTTATTCTTGCTATGGGAAACTTTCTCACTGTCCCATCAATTTGCACACACAGATGTACCTTGCCCATCATTTGGTCATCAGATACTAGGCTGGTTCTCACTGCTGTATTCAGGGTTTGTAGATCACCACTGGTACAGTTGACCCATTTGCTAACTTTAGCTGACCATCAATCATACAATGTTTAGTTATGGTGATAGCACTTCCTTCTTGTGGTGAATCTGATGGGTTGTCTTCATTCTGTTCCTTCTGGCAGCAGCATCCATGGTGACAGTCACTCTTTTTTGTTTCTTGCCAGCACCATCTTTGTAGGTAGCTCCAGGTGCTTTATGTTGAGATTTCTGCTTTTGTTATTACACTCACTCACAATGTGCCCCATTTTATAAAAAACATAGCATCTCTTCTCCCTTTTGTGTGTTCACTTCTTGTCACCTTTGGTGGCATCCTGCTTCTGGTCAGCCACCCCTGGTTTCAACTTTAATTGGTTATTCTTGGACTTGCCAGTTATTCTCTTATACTCCCTCCATGGGCTTCCATATATTGTTCTGCCAGCCTGATCATCTCATCCATGTCTTTCAGTGTTCTTTCTTTTTGGAACAGTGACATGTCAGTGGAGTACATAATCATGAACTGTTCCTGTATTAGTAAATCTACCAGTTCTTCAAAACTATCTTCACACTTACCCAAATCAGTCCACCTTGTAAAGTATTGTCATAAATGTGCCACAAACTGAAATACAGTTTCTCCAATGTTAGGTTCGACTTGTCTGAACTTCCAGTGAAAAACTTCTTTGGTAAGTTCATAGCATTTCAGCAAGGCCACTTTTAACTTGTTATAGTCCATAGCATCTTCTGATGTCTTGCCGGCATACACTTGTAGGCCTTTTCCTCTGAGAATGGGGTGAGATAGATTGCCCAGTCACCTTTGTCCCAGTTCTGACTTTGGGCAAATCTTTCAAACCTCTCTAGGAAAGCATCCATGTCATCTTTTCCATTCATCAAGTTTGGGCAGCTTGGATCAGTTGGCCCTGACCCCATTGCCATTCTTGGGTCCTCTGTCTTTCTCTTGGGCAAACTTGGTGATCTCAATTTGTGCTCTTATTCTCTCTATTTCCAGTTCCTCCTTTTCTTCTTTCTGCCTTTCTCTTTCATCCTCTCTACTGTTGATGTTCTTCTCTCTATAGGGCTTGTTATTCTTTAACAAACTCTCATAAATTGCCACCTTTGAGCCCAAGTCACTTGCCCCTCTCTATCAAAATCAGTCGACATGGTTACGTAGTGTGGTTGTAACCTCTACAACATTTTTGCCACCACTACAGCTGTGTGTATATAGGCCCATTTACCTCTGAGGTTTACATCTACTGCCATTTACCACTGCAGATCATAACTGGTTTGCCACTGTCAGTATATCTGTATGGCCAGATTCTTTACAGTACATGTCTGTGAGTTGTTGGCAATAAATTTTAACAATAAACAAACAGCACACAATCCACTAGTTTTGAAATAATATATTAAAACAAATCAAACATATACAAATGTTTGTTACACTTTCTAATTGTCTATTTTTTTGTCAAAGTCCACATAGGTTGGTTCAATCATTTTAGAATACAACTGACAAGATGAATTATTATTCTTCTCTACTCTGTTATTACAATACAATCAGTGATAATTTCACTTTCAAATATGTGTTAGATACATGACTTTGTCACTGGGCTGGGGTTATGGTAAATGTGTTGTAGGACAATATGTTACATACTTGACTTCATGACTGAGCTGGGTTATGTAAAGGTGTTGTAGGACAATGTGTGTTGTTGTATACTTGACTTCATGACTGGGCTGGGGTCATGTAAATGTGTTGTAGGACAATATGTGTTGTATACTTGACTTCATTACCGGGCTGGGGTTATGTAAATGTGTTGTAGGACAATATGTGTTACATACTTGACATCATGACTGGGCTGGGGTTATGTAAATGTGTTGTAGGACAATATGTGTTACATACTTGACCTCATTACTGGACTGGGGTTATGTAAATGTGTTGTAGGACAATATGTGTTACATACTTGACATCATGACTGGGCTGGGGTTATGTAAATGTGTTGTAGGACAATATGTGTTACATACTTGACATCATGACTGGACTGGGGTTATGTAAATGTGTTGTAGGACAACATATGATATATACTTAACTTTTTTCAGTCAGTGATAAAGCAGTAGCCTAACATCAGTCAGTGTCAAAGCAGAAATCTCTGGTGGTTTAGCAAGATTCTGAATACAGTCATTGGTAAAGCAGAAGTTTCACTACAGTCAGTGGTAAAGCAGGAGTCTCTGGTGGTTAAGTAGAAGTCTCACGTAGTAGTTAGTAGTAAAGAAGTCTCACAACAGTGGTGTAATATGAAAATCCCATGTTAATTTTCTTATTCAAGTATTATAATTTTCTAGAGTTATTTACCGAGATGATTAAAAATGGGTATCTAGATATCAAAAACGATAAGTATAAAGTTTGGAAGAGTGTATTCAAATATACGAATAAACATGATTCTTTTTTGAGATATTGTGAAAAGTATATTGTACAAAAATAAAGTTTCTTATTGAGTAACAAGCAGTTGGATAGTTGTAGAGAACATCATAAAAGAATGGCCTTCTTTACTTACCATAGTGATCCACATTTACATTACATCACTTTGACATCAAAATAATCCTCATATTAGTTAAAACTCTTTTGGGGTATAACCATAGCTGTCGTATTTTCTCAGTAAAACAGTAGATGATGAATAACTCAATAAAGTCATATAGTTTTTGAACATTTTAAACCTATACTTCAGCATTATGTTCAATCAATACAAGTAAATGTCTAACCTCATACGTTTCACAGTTAAAAAATGGCATAGGCTCTGTGCCCTCCTTGACTTTCCATATCACATCACCATTTTCACTGAGAGTAAACTCTGTCCTGACATAAAAATAAAGATATTAAACACACAAAAAATTCACAATTCACAGAGAAAAATATTACAAGGAATTGAAATCAAAGCAAATTTTTGTTCATTTATCCATCATTTGTACTATGAAATAATTTTCTTATGACAAAACTAAAAATCCCAGTTTCTCACCCTTCTATCCCAGAAGTTCCACCTTCTCCTGGTATAGAATCACAGCTGGTAATCTGTAGAAGAAAAGGGATTGTTTTAAAAAATAATTGTACCACATAAGAATATTGTTACATCATACAATTTATATATTCAACAGCATTTCAAATTTGTTTTTCAGTTTGTCACAATATTTTGATACAGTATTTTTGAAGTTGAATATTTGCAAGGACAATCCATAGTATATTCTATTATTTCACTAATTCTGCAAAATATTTTCGTCAAGGAAGTTTTAAATTTAAGGTCTTTTAAATTATCTTCCTGTTTTAACTAAAATTACACTTCTCAAACATGACATAATCTTGTTCGTCATAAACTACTCTGTGGAAAATACAGCAAATATGAATACCAACAGTGCTTCAAACAATGATGTAGTTGTATCATTGTATCTTTTCATAACCTCGTAGATTAGTATCATCCAATTATACAGCTCATTAATTACTTTCAGCAATAACCACTCTCCTTTCCTCTCCCTATTTATTGGATCAATCACTTGTCATATAAAAAGAAAAAAAAAACCTTGCTGACGACGACATACTATGTGGCTTCACTGCAGTAACTATTTTTTTTACGTGATTCAAATATAACATACTGGTAAAGTTTTTTGTTTTGTTTTTCTTGCACAGAATTTAAATACAAGCTAATGGAAGGTATGGTGAGCTACGAAAAAGCAATTTAAGATTAAAGTGTAAAAAACCTGGGCGTATTTCATAATTCTGTCACACTCACAGTTTGTACTTCACTTTTAGTTTTATTAGGTTTAAAACCTGTAAATAAATACAAACACCGGTAACCAGCAGAAGAAAAAACTTATTTAAATTAAATTGCATTAACAATAAGGTTTTTTCAAGGAAATTATAAAATACAACCACAATCTACCTTCCATGTCCCACAATATATATTGACATCTGCCATTCTAATTGTATGGTGCTCACGGATCAGATGAAACACATTGATTAGATACCCGTTGCCTCGAGATACAAGCCACCTAAAAGTAAAAGCGCATAGACTGGAAGGCGCTACTGGGCATGCGCCTTTAGGCATTATACACCCTGCAGTAATGAACAGCAAACTTTTCATACGTTTTTTTTTACCCGTTATAAAATATACTGTCTATAGTAGTGACATTTAAAAATCCAAAGGGATAACAATGTGAAACAATAAAGTTATTAGAACTGAATATTCGTCTGTTTCTATTTAGGTGAAAAAAATGATGTTTCTTATTCGATATGAACACCTGTTAACCATTTCAAAAATTTAATCAGCAGCGGTACAGTTGATTTTTCTTATATATTGTTACGTTTCCGTTTGTTCATTAACTTTCCGTAACTTCGTTCCTACGAAACTTTAGCGACACAAGTCTTTACTTAATAAAACTGGTTTATTCTTTCCGAATACAACTTTACGATACACTTATTTTCAACAATCGCTCTATAACAAACGCTATATCAACAATAATTCTGACTGCAGTTCAATTACTCACTATCTACACACACATTACTTTACTATTCCGTCACGTTGCCACCCTCTTTTTATATACCCAAACTACCCTATATC